ACCCAGGTATGCCTCCTGGGATGAGGTTTACCTGGGTGGTCGACAAATACCTTTGATGTCGACACCCGCGTGTCCAGACTATTGTGCTGAGCCGACAAACAGCTGATCAGCTGTTTGTCGGCTCAGCGCGGCAGCCATGTAAATTTAAATGAAGCGGCAATTATTTAAATCGCCGCTTCATTTTCCTATGTCTGGTAGCTTAATCTACATGCCTCTGGCGACAGAGGCATGTAGTCTAGACGTACCCTAAGGCTTTCACATGCATTTATGAGGGCTTGTAGCTTATGTTTTGAAATATGAATGTTGGGATTTTCATGTAATTGTACGAGTCGAAGAGCTGGGGCATCGAGAAAAACACCAAGATTGTGACACTCGTGACAACGCTGAGGGTATTTTCTTCTAACTCCTTGTGTGCATTGCAGCTCCACACCGCAGGTTCAGATAATCTCTCCTGGCATGTTTGTGGTGCTTTTCACACAAGGATCTCAGGCCCAGTCCTCAAAGGTACTTAGAACTTTAACTCCTATTGAAATCAAAAGGCACCTAAATATCTTTGTGAGTCTGGGCTGCTGCGTTCTCCAGTCAAACCACTGGTTTTACTCATTTGCTCTCTCTAGGAACATTTCATGCAAATGTTTGAACTGGCACAGCTGGTCACTTAGGCTACATTTATACTGCCAGTTTTTGTGGCAGAAAATATGCTAATGAGGGACTCATTTGCATGATTCGTTATCTCATTTGCATATTTTCTGCCGATCCATTTTTGCGCTAGGGGTTTTTGCACAAAAACAAGCACTGTAGACATTTTCTTTTTGTGCAAAAAACCCTTTTTGCGCAAAATTGGTATACATCCTTTTTTGAGGCATAAGGATCTTGCACCAAAAGGGGTTTTTGCACAAAAAGAAAATCTCCACGCTGCTTGTTTTTGCGCAAAAACCCCTAACGCAAGAACAGATCGGCAGAAAATATGCAAATGAGATAACGAATCATGCAAATGAGTCCCTCATTAGCATATTTTCGGCCGCAAAAACTGGCAGTGTAGATGTAGCCTTAGGGCATGTCTACACTAAGAAATTATTTCGAAATAATTTTTTTAAAAAATAATAATTCCCAAAATAACAATTTTGAAATAGCGGGTCCACACTACAGGTAAGCCTCATATTTAGCCTGAGGCAGGCTTCCTTAATGTGGACTTTGAGCCGAGGAAGCATTGGGGAGTAATTACTTTGAATGACTCTGGGAAGTAGTTATTTTGAAATAGCAGTGGTGAAGCTTGGAACTATTTCGAAATAAGCGTTATTCCATGTGGAAAGCAGGAGTTATTTTTTTCAAAATAACCAGCCTGTTATTTCAAAATAACAGGCTTCTTAGTGTGGACATTCCACTTGTTATTTTGAAATAAGGGGAGTTATTTTTGAAATAACACCCATGTGTAGACCAGGGCTTAGACTATTTGCTATCCTGATGTTTAATGACTCATCCACATAACAGTGTTGTTTCTGCTTCCTGACTAGAAGACTGCATGCCAGGGGTTCTTAACCTTTTTAACTTCACACTTCCCCTGAAAGTGAATTTCATGTTCACACACCCCCTGAGAGCCATTTTGTGCACAGCCTAGCCCCACCCCCTCACCTGACAGGAAGCTAAGGGGCGTGGCTAGGACTATAAGAACTCTGCCAGGGAGCTCAGTTGGGGCCCAGCCTCTGAGGGAGACAGAGGCCTGCCCAGAGCTCCTGGCTGACGAGGCTGAAACCTGACCTGGGCCTCACACAGCTGCCTTCCCTCAGGCCAGCAAAGGCTTCCTTGCGATAAATTTTCTGGGAGGCACCTCACACCTACCCTGTATCCCCTTAACACCTTCCCTGGGGAGGCGCACCTCACTGGTTAAGAACCCCTGCTGTATGCAAATAAATAGGCAGGACATCTACATGACCAAAAACCCAGTAAAAAATGCCAGTATACATGAACAGTAAACAAGAACAAGCATAGATACAATGTAAAAGTGCTTGAAATCTGTATCTCCTCAGCGTTAGTATTCATATCATAGTTGAGATCTTTCTGTATAGTAAATACAATCCGTATAGAATAACTTACTTCACAATGTTCAGAACCAAGTATCAGAGGGGTTGCCGTGTTAGTCTGAATCTGCAAAAGCGGCGAGGAGTCCTGTGGCACCTTATAAACTAACTGAAGTGTTGGAGCATAAGCTTTCGTGGGCAAAGACCCACTTTGTCAGAGGCATGCGTCTGACGAAGTGGGTCTTTGCCCACGGAAGCTTATGCTCCAACACTTCAGTTAGTCTATAAGGTGCCACAGAACTCCTCGCCGAATGTTCAGAACTTAATCCAAAATGTATCAGTTCAAGTTAGCTTTCCCACAATTAGTACAAATGCACACACACACATACACACTCACACACCATTTTTACTTCGAGAAATGGAGACTGGAAAGAAAGAGTTATGGACAGTATTGTGTTACCGCTTCTTAACTTTTAGGAAGCACTCAGATATTATGGTGATGGGAGCCAACCAAGTACCTAAATATCTGTTTAGCTACATATCAATATTATCTCTATTTTACAGATGGAGAAAATGAGGCACGTTAGATAAAGTGACTTGCCTAAAGTCACATCGGGAATTAGTGGTACCAGTAGGAGTAGATCCCAAGAACCCTGCCTACCTATCCTCTGCACTAATTATTGGATAGTATTGCTGCCCCATCATTCAAAGCTGTGACCTCTGTCTCAGCATGACAAGGGTCATGGTCCTTTTCCCAGTATAAAAATTAGCAGTGAAACTTTTTACCCTTCCTAACTGCTCTTTGCAGAAGAACTTCATGGGGGTGTCCTTTCTGTGATTGGAATTTAGGTCTGGAAGGGGATTATTGGTCACGATCAGTGCTGTCTTGTCTTGATTGAACTCTGAAGATCTGCACATAAGTGTGATGTCTTCTTTGCGGCCATCGAGGTAGTCTTGAAATTTAGCATCAGTCAGCGGCACAAAGTACTTCTCCTATACGGGGGCAAAGTGGGGCATCTGGATTAGAAGAGCCACCTCCATATCCATGCCAGGACATACTTGCTGTTAAAAAGCAATGAAAACTGTATTTCAGAAAATCTTGTGTATTGGGCTATGGTGGCTGCTCTCCACTGCCTGCTTCTGGACAGAATGAATGCATAGCAATACATACAAACATCACACATTAGAGAAAGCCACAGCTGTATCCTTATGGTAGGGTCACTAGATGTCCCAATTTCACAGGGACAATCCTGATTTGGGGCTTTGTCTTATATAGGTGCCTATTATTTCCCCACCTATCCTGATTTTTTACACCAGCACTTCCTCTAATCTTTTCCACCTGTGTGCAGATTTTTCAATTCCTGTGTGGAATAATTTTATGCACACGAAAGCAGGTACAAATGTGCACCACCAATAGAAACATAAAACCTAGCTGTGGGTGCTCTGCTAATCAGTTGGGTGGCATTTGAATTTCTCCTGAGTGGCCGCACAAGCATACAACTTATAAGGAGTGCTACTGGTCACCCTAACCTTGTGAGTGTATTGACACACAAGAATCTTCACATCAATGAGGGGGCGGGGAGGGATCAGCAGGGTTTAATCTCAGAATTTCAGTACGATTGTCAGGTGTTGGAACAAATTGCCAAAGTAGGTTGTGGAAACTCCGTAATTTGAGTTTTTTAAGAGCAGGTTAGACAAACACCTGTCAGGGAGGTCTAGATACTTCATTCTGCCTTGAGTGCAAGGGACTGGACTCTAAAACCTTCCAGTCTTAGGAGTTTATACTACAGCACAGGCCACCTGAAAGCTAAGGAAGAGCTTCTCTCAGCTGAGATCAGTAATTGTCTTATCTACGGAGGGGGACACATCTCACTTAGATTCTGGATTAGGAGAGCAGACCACGGCATTGAATAGTATACACGAGGCAAAGTTACTGTCAGGTAGCTGTGATTATATCGTGATTGACATACACAGCTGTATTTGCTGCAAGAAGCTACAAGATGCTTTCCATCTCTGGCCCAGGAACTGAGTTCGGCCAGGGTCCCCTCATCTATTGGCATAGCATGAAGAGATACATGAAACTACTCTCCTCCAGGAGTGTCCATTGCATGCCAAGTACCAGGCATACCTTTTAGGACATCTTTATCTTTTTCGACTTCTTCTATGACAGGGGTGGGGAACCTTTTTTGGGTCATGGACCACTGAGCCACAAAAAATCAGTAAAAAAAAGACACTAGACACTCCCCTTCCCACATTCCCTTCACACACCAAAGCCTAAGGAAGCCCAAACTGGTAGGTTTTGTGAACTCTAGCCCTAAGGGATGGCGAGGGGGCTGGATTACCAACACGGGCTCCCCAGTGCTGGGGAAGGGGGAGCCCTGAGCCACAGAGAACAGATCCCAGAAACCTCAGGCCCTCCCCTGATTTATGGACTATAAAGTAACATCAGCTTCAGTGCGATGGTGTGTGGCCTGTCAGCCATCTTGGATATCAGGTATCTCCTACCTTGTTGACTGCATTTAGTACTGGTGAATTGCATTTGATTGATAGCCCTGGAGATTGATGTCTTATATCCACAGAAGGGGAATACCATGGCCAGTGACAGTACCCGAACCCTACTTTACAACTAGAGGGAAGCCTTTGAAGTAACAGTGAAATAAGCCCTCATGAAAATTTAATCCTTGGCGCTTATGCTAAAGATGCCCACAAAGAGGCCACTTAGTCCCAACGGTGATGATGATGTTCATCATACAATTCTTGCCAAGGGAGACGGCTTGGATTTTAATGTTCCAGGAGAAAGTAGTGTTTGCTACAAAGTGATTCACTTACCAGTTCCGGATGGTAGCAGTACTGCTTCTCAAATTGTAGTGAAAACTTGCTCATGTTTTTCTAAATCAAAATATGAAATTAAATAATGTCATTTATTATCTGGACCGCAAAAACCCTCTTCCCAGAAAGCAAGGAGGGGCTACTTGGATAGCTTCCATCTTAGCCAACAGAGACTGGATTGAACTAGGGGCTTCCACCACAGAACATATGAGCTGCTACTGCTTGAGTTTTAGCACGTTTTCACTCCGTGGAAGATCACCGCTGCCGCGATCAATCTTCCAGAGTTTGATTTAGCGAGTCTAGTTGAGACTTGCTAAATCAAACTCAGAGGGTGCCCCTGCCGGCATTCAGTACTCCTGCTCTTGCCAGAGGCAAGGGAAGCCAATGGGAGCATTGTGGGGACACCACCTAACTCGGCTTATGTACCTGAAATCAAGCTGCTGGGTCTAAGGTAGACGTGGCCATAGAATCAACACTTTGTACCTACTAGTTGCAATGACTAAACCAGGTTTACACTAGGGGAGAAAGTTGGCCTCCGATACACAACTCCAGCTATGTGAATAGTGTAGTTGGAGTTGACGTAACTTAAGTTGAATTTCTGTAGCATCCCCACTGTGAAAGGCCAATGTGAGAAATTCTCTTTTCGACTTCCCTTAGTCCTCGTGACTCAGTGAAGCACCAAAGTCAGTGGAGGTGGTTGATTTAGTGGGTCCTTACTAGACCTGCTAAATCAAACCCTGAGAGACCAGCCTCCACAGCCTTGATCTCCCGATAAATGGAGACACAGAAGGAGTTCTGTTACACACACAGACCAATAAACTACACTAGCCTCTGTGGCTACAGCATTCAGTAGGCTAGGCTAGCAATGTAAACATGTCCACCTAAATTGCTGCCAATGGTAAATACATGTTTCTTCTATTTAAGAAAACCTTTGGCTACACTCTATATTACGGTTCCATTTATAAATAGGTTGTATATGATTAATAAATAATTAGATGTTTAAATAAGTGATTAATCAATTGTTATAAATTGATAAAGACCAACAGGTCAATGTGTTACTTATATCCACCTTTATTCCTTTTTCTTCTTGCCACTTCCCTATTTGGTGTTGGCAACTTTTATAGACTTTTAACAAAAGTTATATATAATTTTACGGCAAGCTATCATCCAAACTGGTCTCTCTGAGGTCCACTTATATGTCGTCCAAGTACTAAGTCATTGGTCTCCACCCTTGGTTGTCATCCATCTACAATTGTTGGAAGAATTATCCAGTTGGTATAGCTGTCGGGTCTCTGGTGGATATGACCATACCAACATAGACTATCTTCCATCAACTTGCCTTCAACTGGAGCAACCTGCACTAGACCCCTAACAAACCTCATTTTGTTTCCTATCATTTGAAAATTTCAACTTCTTCATTACCATGGAGGAGCGCATACTTACTGCTTTTGTGGCTGGCCAAGTCTCTGTTCCATACACCGATGGGTCTAATTACAGTTTTCTACATTCTACCTTTTAACTTTATTGACAAATTATGACTCCTCCGACTGATATATATAAAACTATCAAATGCTCACGTTGGTACTAACCTTTAAAATGTCCATTGATGATTTATTAACCCTTTATAACTATTTCGAAATGGAAACTTGGTGATCAAACGTTCTGTCTGCAGTTAATATTTTCCCCAATTACTTTTTTTACAAAAATATTTATATGAAAATGAATCTTTGTTTCTTTGTATTTCATGCAGCTGTCTATTATACGATCGTTTTACATTGATATAGCACCTTGCAACTCAAAGGATTTCAAAGTAGGGATGTAAGCGACTAATTGACTACAGTAGTCGACTATCCAATAAGCAAAAGCTTATCGGATAGTCAACACACTAGTCGACTAGTTGCTTCCCCCACCTTGCTACCTCTATCGCAAAGAGGCAGCAAGGGGGGAGAGGGAAGGGGAGGAGGTGCTGGAGGGAGTCGGCTTAAAATCCGTTTTCCCCCAGTTCCAGCTCCGTGGGAGTGGCAGGAGTGCAGCAGTGTTCCAACTTTGAAATGCGCAAGAGCCCCTGCTGGGGTTCTTGTATATTTCAAAGCAGAAGTTCTTATGTGGAGCCTGGGGTCAGGGGGACTCCCTGCTGGGGCTCTTATACATTTCAAAGGTGGAACATGGAGGCCCTTATTACTAATCGAACAGTTGATAGAAATCCCATCGACTATTCGATTAGTTAATTAATTGAAATTTAACATCCCTATTTCAAAGCACTGCACAACCTGTATCTTCCACAATTATTTCACTCACCATGGAAGTATGGCCATCTCTTTAGTGTAAGATGGTAGGTGTTTAACAGCACACCACAGTTTTGGACAGAGAGTCTGCGTCTAGACTGGCAAGTTTTTCCGCAAAAGCAGGTGCTTTTGCGGAAAAACTTGCCAGGTGTCTACACTAGCCGCTTGAATTTCAGCAAGAACACTGACGATCTCATGTAAGATTGTCACTGTTCTTGCGTAAATACTATGCTGCTCCCGTTTGGGCAAAAGCCCTCTTGCACAAATGCTTTTGCACAAGAGGGCCAGTGTAGACAACACGGTATTGTTTTGCGCAAAAAAGCCCCGATTGCGAAAATGGCGATCGGGGCTTTCTTGTGCAAAACTGCGTCTAGATTGGCACGGACGCTTTTCCGCAAAAAGTGCCAATCTAGACGCTCTTTTCCGCAAATGCTTTTAACGGAAAAACTTTTTTGCTAAAAGCATTTGCTGAAAATCATGCCAGTCTAGACGTAGCCTAAGTGTAGAAGAACACAGTGGGAATTTTGGAAGGCTAAAGGTAACAACCCAGAATTTGGCTAGGACATCAGCATTAAGCTACATGCTTTTGCGAAAAGGCCAGCAATGTAAATCTAAGTACAATAATAGGTTACAAAATATATACCACAACTGGTGTGCACTTTTCAATAGTTGTAATGTTTTACTCCACCTATAGAAGGTGCGCAGTGGTAGATGAATGAATTAATCCCAGTATGTAGAAACTGGAAGCAGATTGTACTGAAGGAAGAAGAAAAATTGTAAACCTAACGAGAGTTGTGCCCAATTCACCTCAATCATTTGCGTGTGTATTTCCATCTCCTCTCCCATCCTTTGCCTTTTTTGACTGATTATACTTAAAGAGCTTCAGGGCAGGAAACTATCCAACTGTAAGTCACTTTGGGATGCAATGAAACAAACATCTAAGAATCACTTATCTCATTTTACAGATGAGTTAACATTTTCAAAAGTGTCTCAGTGGTTTAGGAGCCTTAGTGCCATTGGCGGAGATGCTCAATGACTTCTTTGTTTCGGTCTTCACGGAGAAGTCTGGAGGTGTGCCTAACGTAGTGACTACAAGCAGAGAGAGGGTAAGTTTAGAAGATAGGATACACAAAGAACAAGTTAAAAATCACTTAGGAAAGTTAGATGTCAGCAAGTCACCAGGTCCTGATGAAATGCATCCCAGGATACTCAAGGAGCTGATAGAGGAGGTATCTGAGCCTTTAGCTATGATCTTTGAAAAATCATGGCAGACAGGGGAGATTCCAGAAGACTGGAAAAGGGCAAATATTGTGCCCATCTATAAAAAGGGGAATAAGAACAACCCAGGAAATTATAGACCGGTCAGTTTAACGTCTGTCCCAGGGAAGATAATGGAGCAGGTAATTAAGGAAATCATATGCAAACACTTGGAAGGTAATAAAGTGATAGGGAATAGCCAGCATGGGTTTGTGAAGAACAAGTCATGCCAAACTAATCTGATAGCTTTCTTTGATAAGATAACGAGCCTTGTGGATAAGGGAGAAGCGGTGGATGTCATATACCTAGACTTTAGTAAGGCATTTGATACGGTCTCGCATGATATTCTTATTGATAAACTAGGCAAATATAACTTAGATAGGGCCACGATAAGGTGGGTGCATAATTGGCTGGATAACCGTAGTCAGAGAGTTGTTGTTAACGGTTCTAAATCCTGCTGGAAAGGGATAACAAGTGGAGTTCCTCAAGGGTCTGTTTTGGGACCCGTACTGTTCAATATCTTCATCAATGATGTAGATATTGGGATAGAGAGTACTCTTATTAAGTTTGCAGATGATACCAAACTGGGTGGGGTTGCGACTTCTTTGGAGGATAGGGACATAATTCAAAATGACCTTAGCAAGTTAGAGAAATGGTCGGAGGTAAACAGGATGAGGTTTAATAAGGAGAAATGCAAAGTGCTCCACTTAGGAAGGAACAATCAGTTCCATACATACAAGATGGGAAGCGACTGTCTAGGAAGGAGCATGGCGGAAAGGGATCTAGGGGTCATAGTGGACCACAAGTTGAATATGAGTCAACAGTGTGATGCTGTTGCAAAAAAAGCAAATATGATTCTAGGTTGTATTAACAGGTGTGTTGTAAGCAAAACTCGTGAAGTCATTCTGCCGCTCTACTCTGCGCTAGTTAGGCCTCAGCTGGAGTACTGTGTCCAGTTCTGGGCGCCACATTTCAAGAAAGATGTGGAGAAATTGGAAAGGGTACAGAGAAGAGCGACAAGAATGATTAAAGGTCTAGAGAAGCCTATGAAGCCAGGCTTCATGAACTGGGCTTGTTTAGTTTGGAAAAAAGAAGATTAAGGGGGGACATGATAGTGGTTTTCAAATATCTAAAAGGGTGTCACAAGGAGGAAGGCGAAAATTTGTTCCTCTTGGTTTCTGAGGACAGGACATGGAGTAATGGGCTTAAAGTGCAGCAGGGGAGGTTTAGATTGGACATTAGGAAAACATTCCTAACTGTCAGGGTGGTCAAATATTGGAATAAATTGCCAAGGGAGGTGGTGGAATCTCCCTCTCTGGAGATATTTAAGAACAGGTTAGATAGACATCTGTCAGGGATGGTGTAGACGGAGCTTGGTCCTGCCTTGAGGGCGGGGGGCTGGACTCGATGACCTCTCGAGGTCCCTTCCAGTCCTATGATTCTATGATTCTATGAAAGTCAGTGCAATTGATGCAGTTTATAGTTGGTTTGCCAAGGTAAAAAGAGCCACAGAAACACAGAAAGCCAATAGTATTTAAGAGCCTAAACCACTTAAGACATTTTAAACTTTTACCCAGGCCATTAAACGGCAATAATTTTCAGTCCTATGCTGGATGCAAACTCATGATCTATAAACTAGATTCTATGCCCCCTGAAGTCAATTATGAACTTTCATTGGCTTAAATGGATCAATTGGTGTAAATGGGCGATTTTATAACTCATCACAAATCCCTTGAGCTGTCCGGTCCACCTGGACGTTATTAAACTTCCCACAATGCAACAATTCTCCATATATTAAAAAGTTCTAACCGTACCATGCTTGTCGTTGAGAAAACCAACAAACATGCACATAATGTTTATGAGGACACCCAGGCGATGCTATAGTCCCAGGAAAATAGGAAGATCTTATTGGTGGCTTGTCCATTTTGAGAACGTTTATGGCTAACCCTGATGCAGATTGGCTGCCCAGCGGGTTACTTAGAACACTGGTTATCCTAATGTGACATTTCTAAGTCAGGGATTACAACCTCTCTGTGCCATCTTTTCTTAGGACCTTGATGTCAGTGGTGAGATAATATCTGCTAGTGATTAGAAGCAAGAACTCTTGAATTCTTATTTCAGCATGGCTAGAGGTTTTGGGTGTGATTTTGAGTAGTCTCCTCACTCCTTTCTACCACAGTCTTTCCGTCTGCAAAATGAAGTGTTATAATTAGTTAGAATGGGTAAAGCCCTGATGGTAGGATTGGTTGGAAAACACGAACCTGCAGATACACAGTAGGACATGGATTGGCCCTAAATCCTACTTCCTTCATCAGTAAATCACCACAGAGATTAGAGTACTCATTTAGGACTTGGGAGACTTGTATTACAAGTCCCGCTTCCCACCAATTTCCTGTGTGACTCTGTGCTTCCGTTTCCCATCTGTAAAATGGGGAGAGTAAGGCGGCTTTACCTCTCAGGTGGCCTCACGTAAATGTGTTCAAGACTGTGAGGTGCTCAGATACTCCGGTGGTGTGGAGTGAGGAAGATACACAAGGATACACACTGTTTTACACTGCTGTAAGGGAGGAGACACCTGACTTGTAAGCCGGTTGTTTCTCACACCTATCCACCCTCTTCTTTTCCTTCCTCCTTCCCTCAGAGTACATAGTCTCTCCTCCAGGTGGCATACAGCTGAGCTTCAGCAGAGTGACCGCAGAAGCCAGTGGCTACTCAGAAAGTACCCACTGAAGTGCCTGAGTAAGGACTGGGGGAACTGGCCCTTTTGCATTTACCATCTAGTGCAGGGGTGGGCAATTATTTTTGTGGTAGTGGTCATGGGCTGGTTCCATGTCCTGCTTCCCTTTCCCCCAAAAGGAGAAGGCCTCAGGCAGAAGGGGAGCAGCTTTGGGCAGAAGGTGTGGGTCCCTCTAGATGCCACATGCTGCCGGTGGGGGGAGGAGACTTTGCACACTTGCCCCACCCCCAGGCCAATTGGGACCAAAGGGTGGGGGAGCGCACAAAGTCTCTCCCCCCACCCGCCCTGCCAGAGGTGTGCGATGCCTAGAGGGAGCCATCCGCCATTTTGAACAGCTGGCAGTTCCCTCCAGGTGCCACAGGTCTCTGTCGGTGGAAGGAGACTTCATGTGCTCCCCGCATTCCCAGGCCAATCGGGGGTTGGGTGCAGGGGAGTGTGCAAAGCCATTTGCTGTTCACAATGGCAGATGGCTCCCTCGAGGCACCGTACGCCCCTGACCGAGGGAGGGAGCTGCCAGCTGCTTTGAACAGTGAATGACTTTGCTCGTTCCTCACCCCCGCATCTCAATTGGCCTGGGGGTGCAGGCGTGGCAGGGTGGGCCACAGGGTCTGGCTCGTGGCCCACCCTGCCACACCTGCACCCCCAGGCCAATTGAGATCTGGGGGGGGAGGAACGAGCAAAATCATCCTTGATAGGCTGGATCTGGCCTGTGGGCCATATCTGGCCCACCCCTGGTCTACTGCAAAGCCTCCATCACACTGTGCAATGGCAAAACCAAACAGATTTTAGCCACTTCAGGTTCTCATAATGGGTGGTCCAAGGGGATACAGCTCCTCTAACAGCCTTTGGCCTTGTTCAAACCAACCAGCCAGGCCTTGGTCAGTTTCAAGTGTGTGAAGGTGGGCCGGATTCTGCCAGTGGGGATGGGCAGGAAGAGTCCCTGGTGGAAAGAAGCTGCAACAGCCTCATAAATAGTAGGCTAGCGACAACCAGAAAGTGATGACACAGACTAGGGGGAGGACAAGGAACATGCAAGCTTGGGGCATTGCTTCTGCAGCATCCACCGGCAAGACCCAAACAAAAGCCAAACCAGGAGGGAGGACAGCAGTAACACCCCTTGCTTTCCCTCAGGGCGAATCCAGCTCCTGGGGGTTCATGTAATTCGCAGTTGCCACGGTAGACGGGGCCGCACCCCTCTCTCTAGCAATAGGTAGAGTGTTCCTTCTCACCTGCCATCCAAACAGCTGTGCGTGGGCCTTGGGCCAGGGTGCCTCTCAGGTGTGGCCCCTTTAAAAAGACACAGCTGGACCGTTGGGGTCTGAACATTCATTCCGTGGCAGTTTGAAAGAGCAACCGAGGCATGAAAGGAGAGCGAAGGCTGGAGAACAGGCTCTGAGATCCAGAGAGAGAAACAGGGGCTCATGGGAAAAGAGTTAAGAAGGGAAATAGGAAAAAAAGAGAACGCAGATGCTGAAAAACAAATTGGATGATGACAGGTACAGGGCCCAGAGAAAGACATGAAAATGCAGAGGAAGATCAAGGGGCAGTGGAGCCAACAGCCTCCACAGGCCCTTGTACAAGGTGTGGGGGACCAGCTGCATGCTCCCAGAAGGGGCAAGGCCAAGGACAGCTGCCTCCTGGAACACGGTGTGCCCACTCCCCATCTCAGGCTATGTATACACTACAGAGTTTTGGCGCAAAAACTCACGGAGCGTCCACCCCTCAAGCGCGTTTTTGTGCAAGTGAAACGAAAGAGCAGAGGGGGTTTTCCAGTGTAGATATTCCTCTTTCTATGAGAGCCAATTTTTTTTCTTCAATTTAGACCCTGCTCAGGGTTATAGGAGGGTAATTGTGTTATGCTTAAACGAAGCACACGAGATCTTTGATGGGGAAAAGGCAGTTCGCCGCATTTATTGAGAATACAACAGTTGCATATGCTTTTCAATCATTCACACACACAAACACAGTCACACATGCATACACAGTCCCACCAGTTGATGTCATAGTTACCAGTCCAGAGTCTGTATCAATCTAGTGGCCAGCCAGATTGATCACAGAGGGGGAACCAGGCTCTGTCGGTCAATCGAAGCGATGCTCCTGGAGTTAGTGGCAAGACGAACCCAAAGTTCCATAGCAAGGCACCCTGCTTTTATAATCCTCTCACTATGGATTTCACTGTGTCAGTCTGTGACCGGTTCCTGTTATCTTGTTGATGTTTTGGGAATGATTAACATCTCGCAAGGCTCATCCTGTCCTGGATTGTTAATCAGTTGTTTTTAGGGATGCTTTCACTTTTAGAGCTGTCAGTCCTAACATATCCCCCTTTTGATCCCTCAAGATCAATTCTTGAGTGGATCACATCTTATATAATTGTCTCATGGCTATATACTGGGAAACAATCTGAGCTTGTGGTTGCAATTTAACAAACATTCTTTTTGTCCAGCAACACATAAATATCATTTCAATTAGGCAAAGGCAAGACAATATCAATACAATCATCACTGGGTGAAGCACAAATGACAATATTCTTTTAGGGGGAGACCAGCCTGTAAAAACACCCTACCAGTGATAAACAGTAAGTTCTTTTTCAGCACCAGTAATTTTTATCATATCTCTATTTGCATGTGTTATTTGAAGAACTCGCCTTTCCACATCCTTCTGAGTTCCTTGTAAGAACGGCATGACTTCTGCTTCTAAAAGCAAATGATTAACTAATTCCTCCTCAATCCAAACCGAGGGAAACGGAGAAGTTAACCAAGGGGGCAGTCACAGTACTCTGGGTTTTCTCTAGCTTAGGAAGGTAATAAGTGTGATTCTTAGTGCATAAAATGCTTGCATTGCATCTACACTCATCTACTGGTGGCTGGCTAATGCTGTCATCCTAAATAAATAAATTAATGGAGATCACCTATCTCCTAGAACTGGAAAGGACCTTGAAAGGTCATTGAGTCCAGTCCCCTGCCTTCACAGCAGGACCAAGTACCATCCCTGACAAATTTTTGCCCAAAATTCCTAAATGGCCTCTGCAAGGATTGAACTCACAACCCTGGGGCTAGCAGGCCAATACTCAAACCACTGAGCTATCCCTCCCCTGAAAAATCCTCCCAAAATATTATTTCCCAGAATACAACACATATCCATTGTCCATTGTCCATCACATGGGTTACATTTTCTAGTTCATCCCAGACACATGTGCCTAGTGATGTATCCCTACTGCATAGTTCTGTGATGGCAGGCAGGGAGAGGCACACCCATCTGCGAGGGGCCCACTCTGTACACTGTCGTGTGTCCAATAATTCCTTTTCTTTCCCAGCCCACTGCCCCATAATATGGAGTAACCAGAAAGATCCCACGGCCAATGTTGGTAGTGGACTGACTTTCCATAGCTCTTCCTCCACTGATTGTTGATGAGCCATTTTGACAATAATTTCTCCGTAACAATTCAGGTTTTACCCTGCTGGAGACATACTGTATCCATTCATGCTTATAGGTATCAAACAAAGATCTTTTTCATTGTTTTAAAAGGTGTTCCAGTACTTTAATATTGCCTGATATTACCCAGAACATTTAATGTGATGCATAAAACTAAGAACTTGCATTTCGGTGCATCCCATAACCAAGGCAGTCTTATTTCCCAGTTCCAGCTGTTCCTTATATGCTAGTCAGGTGGTGGTGTTTTAACCATTTCCACAGATTCCATGTTGCTTTCAAACTACCTAATCCTATTTATACCAAATATATATTGGCATCTGCCTGTTCGTGTATGAGACTTTCCAGTAGTTTTGATAAGGCACTCAATTTATTTCTAATTACCTCTAAATCTACTGTATTCATAATTCCTGTTCCAGCACCAATTCCTCCAAATATGGTGTTTGCTAAATTTCACTTGGTTCAACCATAGGGGTTTTGGAGAATCACAGACTAATAGTACTGGAAGGGACCTCAAGAGGTCATCGAGTCCAGCCCCCCGCCCTCAAGGCAGGATCAAGCTCTGTCTACACCATCCCTGACAGATGTCTATCTAACCTGTTCTTAAATATCTCCAGAGAGGGAGATTCCACCACCTCCCTTGGCAATTTATTCCAATATTTGACCACCCTGACAGTTAGGAATTTTTTCCTAATGTCCAATCTAAACCTCCCCTGCTGCACTTTAAGCCCATTACTCCTTGTCCTGTCCTCAGAAACCAAGAGGAACAAATTTTCTCCTTCTTCCTTGTGACACCCTTTTAGATATTTGAAAGCCGCTATCATGTCCCCCCTTAATCTTCTTTTTTCCAAACTTAACAAGCCCAGTTCATGAAGCCTGGCTTCATAGGTCATGTTCTCTAAACCTTTAATCATTCTTGTTGCTCTTCTCTGTACCCTTTCCAATTTCTCCACATCTTTCTTGAAATGTGGTGCCCAGAACTGGACACAGTACTCCAGCTGAGGCCTAACTAGTGCAGAGTAGAGCGGCAGGATGACTTCACGAGTTTTGCTTACAACACACCTGTTGATACAACCTAGAATCATATTTGCTTTTTTTGCAACAGCATCACACTGTTGACTCATATTCAACTTGTGGTCCACTATGTGGTCTTTATCATTAAAATCCATTTTCCTTTATTTCAAAGGGAACAGCCTACATGCCCAATAAAAAAAGATACCATGCCTGTAGTAGTCAGGGGAATCCAGAGGGTGGGTGAAATTCCCATCCAATGCCCCTTCTGCATATTGGTTCCCGTAAATATAGTTAAAATGCTTATTAATTCTTTTCTGCCTAATGCAGTATACCTCCTTTCCAAACACAATTATTAACAATGCTAGCAATAAGACAGACGTCACAAGAGAAGACATAAAAACATAAAATACAATTTTTGTCATGACAATAAATCCATGTTATTTTAGTTGCTCTTCAGCTGGTACCAGCTTTTCTGACAAGCAGCACCAGTCATCTGTCTGGCAAAGAGTGTCTTGTCAGTTTGCAACTTGACATGAAAGGGCATTATTTAAAACAAAACAATGTATTTGAAACCTACAAAACAGATTTACAATGCATAGATTCCCCACCCCCCCTTTTATGCATTTAACCAGTTAAGTTTCAGTAGCATTCCTTATTTTCCCATTTAACTAACTATTTAAATTAGATTGTTTTTTACACATTGCTTAGGAAAGAGGCTGCAAAGAGACAAGGAATCTTTCTGAAAGACAAAAGAAAACATTTTCTAGTCCCGGAGAAGTGGGGGGTGGATGGCACATCGTATTTTAAAATGCTTCTCTCTGTTACAAGTATTCTTGCTGATTTTCTATCAGCCTACTGTTGCCGAATAATTACTTACGCTTTTGTTTTGTAAACCAGCAAAGAGACAAGGAGTCTTTTTTAAAGCAGGTTTTCTTCTTACACATTACAACAATTACTTAATTCCTTCCACACTCCCACAGAAGGAGTCAACTTCTCATCATCTCACACCTTTAATCACTTGCTTTATTCCTCAAACGAAAACTTTCCTCATTCCTAGTAATTTAACTTTCCAATGCCTGTATTATTGCTTTCCCTTATTCCTTCTACTATGACCACACAGGGCTCCAAACTTCTTACCCCCTTTCACATGCTTCTTTCCTTCTTATGGTCTGTACCTGATTCTGCTTTTCTGCTAAATGATCCCTTTCCACGGACACAAGTTTTGTCCATTACTAATTTAGTAAGAAGGGTGGGCTTTTCAGTTGGCCCCCACACCTTCTGGTTCCTTTCGTCGGGTAAGTTCAAATGTTTATTTCTGATTGAGATTAGGGGTTTGTAAACCAATACATATTTCACCAATTTGCTCTTAAGGTCTGCATAATATAAGCTTAAGTACTGTTAGACCATGGGCTGTGCTTAAACTCTTGCAATATTTGTTCCAAAGATATAGTGTACCTTTTCTCCTTTTCATGAGGATTTTTTTCCCTGAATTTTTGCACCAATGTGCCCAGTTTGTTTCACTAGCAATTTTAGTCTTATATGTCATGTACCTTTAAGATTCTATACGACGGAAGAATGGAAACAGTAACCTTTATTCTTTTGACTTGCCCCTCATATGATTGTGGTTGCAATGCAATGGACCCCATTTAATCTTTTAAATTTGCCGTGGCCACCGTTTCTGTTCCTGTCCCCACTTTTCAGGCCCTGTGAAAGGGCTTGCAGTCTGTTGTTTACAACAGGCAGGGGTGGCCCGTGGATGTAGGCAACCTCGGCACTTGCCTAGGGCGCCGAGTTAAACGTGGTGCCCAATGATGATGTCACACCAGTGAGGGCTCTGGAGGCGGGGGCACTGATCG